TTTAATGGCCGGCCACCATTTTTTAGGGTCCTGGAGTTGACTTACAACACAAATATGTGGTTCAAAGTTCAAGAAAGTGGCTCCAGGTTGTTCAACATTAGCTCGGAATGAGGGGTTCAAAAGGGTCAGGAAACATTAGTGGCCGGCCATATGATTTTAGGGTCCTCCCATGTGTGTACATTACAAATATGTGGTTGAAAGTTCAAGAAAGTGGCCCCAAGGTGTTCAACATTAGCTCGGAATGAGGGGTTCAAAAGGGTCAGGAAACATTAGTGGCCGGCCATATGATTTTAGGGTCCTCCCATGTGTGTACGTTACAAATATGTGGTTGAAAGTTCAAGAAAGTGGCCCCCAAGGTGTTCAACATTGGCTCGGAAGCGAGAAAAACGGGTACCGGAGGGCGAAAATGGAATATAACTGGTTTCCAAGATAATTGTTGGCCTCCTACCTTCCAGTGACCTTCTTGGTGATGAAACAGAGGCACCTGCCAAAAATGAACGAAAACCAATGCAAAACGAATGCTCGAGGGCCAAAACACGCAGTTCGGGATCTCGAAAATGGGCTGCTAAGCACCAAAAGTGGCGTTCGGCCACGAAGTGGGTTTCTCAGACCCCAGTGTCCCTCAAAAGGGAGCAAATAAGATGTATGCCAAAATTTAGAGCAAACGGAGATGGTTAAGCGGTCCCGAACCGAGGCACACGGCCAACGGTCCCGAAAAAAAAAAAGAGCAAACCGGGCTCCGAAATTGGCAAAATGGCCTACGGCCACCAAATGTAGCCCACGGCCACTGAGAGATGGTCTACAGGACCTCTCCCTCCCCTCAGGAAAAGAAATAGAGAAAACCGAGTCTGGTTCGCAAACCGAGGCAAGGCACAGTAGAGAGTTCGGAAGTCCGGAGGCAGGGCTCGCAGCCGCGACTCTGAGACTTCTGAACGAGCACAACATGCAATATCACCGAGTGCTCAACTGGTGACGTCTGAGTCTTAAGGTCGGTCAAAAATGGGGTGTCTACAACCACAGAAAGAGGGTCTCCCATGTGTGCACAACACAACCCTGTGGACAAAAATTGGAGAAAGTGAACCAGGAGAGAGAACAACCCACTTTTAGGAGGGGTTCAAAAGGGTCAGAAAGGATTACTGGCCGGCCACCAAATATTGGTGGCCTCCCAGATGTGTACATCACAAATATGGGGTTTAGGGTGCAAGAAAATGGCCCAAGGGTGGTCAACATTGGCTTTGAAGTGAGGAAAAACGGGCGACGGAGGGCGATGAAGGGATAAAGCTGGCTGACAGAACAATTACTGGCCTCCCACCCTTCTACGGCCTTCTTACCAATGAAACAGAGGTCCCTGCCAAAAATGAACCAAAACCAATGCAAAATGAAGGTTCGGGTACCGAAACGCGCAGCTCGAGGCCCCAAAAACTGACTGTTAGGCACCGGGAGTGGTGTTTGACCACGAAGTCGGTCTCTCGGACCACAGTGTCCCTCAAAAGGGAGCAAACAAGATGCATGCCAAAAACTGGAGCAAACGGAGGTGGTTAAGTGGTCCCGAAGTGAGGCACACGGCCAACGGCTCCGAAAAATCGGGAACCGGACTCCAAACGGGCAAAAATGGCCTACGACCACGAAACGTAGCCTACGGCCACTGAGAGATGATCTGAGGGACCTCTCCCTCCCTTCGCGAAGAGAAAACAGAGAAAACAGAGCCTGGTTCGCAAACCGAGGCAAAGCATGAAAGAGTTCAGAAGTCCGGAGGCAAGGCTCGCAGCTGAGACTCTGAAACTTCTGAACGAGCACAATATGCAATATCACCGAGCGCTCAACTGGTGACGTCTGAGTCTTAAGGTCGGTCAAAAATGGGGTGTCTACAGGCGTCCTCGTTTGCGCCAAACTCCCAATTTCCCGAAGCAATAACATAATCATCTCCAGCCCCCTTGTTGGAGTCTGGAAGGTCGGCTACGATTTTGAATGCTGTAGACCTCGGCTTCAGATAATAAATGAAGCCTTTTTCTTTCAAGTTAAGGGCACACATGGTGTAACAATACTGTATGTCGGCTAAGGTGATCCTAACGTTTTCCTGTTTGGCTAAGGCAATAATACCAAAAATCACTCGATAAGAGTTGATTGCCACTTGCATGGGGTTCAACTTATAATAATGAAGGATCTCGCGAAAAAGGATGTTGAGTGGGAGCCGGAGTCCGCACTCAGTAAAAACTACAATGAGAAGGGGCATGGCGTTTTCTGTAGGCATGATGGAGTCGTCATCCCCAGCCAGTCTCAGGTGGACATCGGCAGAGATGGAGAACTCTTGCCTAAAGTACTCAAGTTTGGTCGGGATATCTACCATGTGCCTCCACATACCCATAACGTCGGCCTAAAATCAGATGGCTAGGTTTCAGAAAGAAGGTGCTCTTAAGGGGTTATCGGGACCTCGGCGAAACCCTAGGTATATGCTGGTAAGGATTGTTTCAGTTTTTCCTAAAGATTGATAAGTTCTATAAACAAATCCCAAACCTAAAGCTATGAAGATGAAGATCAAAGGTACAGATCTAGAAAAGATATAAAAAATAGAAAACAAATACGAAGTTTCAGAGTCAAGAACAGAGATGGACTATCAAGAACATGAAGAACAGAAGTGGGGTTCTCAAAAGCATAAGCAAAAAACCAAATCAACGCATTCAGATGTATGATCTACAAATTGATTACTTAAGTAAAGCAGTAGTAAACAAGAAATTCCAAGAGAGATCAAGAACTGGAATAGAAAGCAGCAGATGCTTACTAGAAAAAGGGAGGCCGAAAAGGGATTTGCCGACGTCCTACGACGGTTGCAAGAGCAGAAGACCGGTGGAAATCTCGCCAGAATGGGTGAACGGAAAAGGATGCAGAGCTTTGGAAGCTTGAGCAATGGCGGGTTTGAAAGAAACAGTTTTAGAGAGAGAAAAAAGCAAGAGAATTCAGATGCAAAAGTGAAGAGACGAAAGAAAGGGGGAAAGATTTTGTCAAAAAATGAAAACGGCGGCAAAAGCAATCAATACGCCTAAAAGAGCGCATACGTCAGACGGCGCATGTGAAGAAGAGATGACTTATGGGCGTCCTTTTCCTTCAGAGCAGCTCCAAATGACCCTAGATTTGCTTTCATGTCCATCAAATTCCTCAAGAGTGTCAGATGTTATCTTTGGACTCAAGAGATTCCAATAATTCTCAACCCTTCGCCTCCAAAGTTCCTGCATTACACTAGCAACAATTAAGGTGATAATCACATGGTTTCTGTTCTCTATCGCATGTCCATATTCACAAGAAAACAGCAAAATTATAGACTGTGGGGATGTATTTTCTGAATACCAACACGTGGCAAGGTGACGCCGACGTGTTGGCCGAAGTGCCACGTGTTCTGGTTGTGACGCCGAGGTTATCTTGGCGAGGCCGAGGTTATCTCCGAAGATATCAGAATCCGAGATAAGCGGATAGTGGATAAGGGGCAAGAGTCCTAGAGTAAAGAGAAGACTTTGCTAAGATAAGGATAAAGCTTTTAGGGAGTTTATCTTTATCTCTTGAGAAATCCAAAGTAAGTACAGAATTAGAGTCCGTAGAAGTCAAGCTTCTAGTGGGACTAGGATTGAGTAAACTATAAAAAAGAGACACCCCCGTGGGTCTAAGGTACGCAATTTTATGCTTTGAGTAGTGAGTTTAACACTTGATTACCTTTGAGAGATATACTGACTTGATCGTCGGAGTGCCCCCGGGTGGAAGAGCCACCGCCGGAGCCTTTTCTTTCTGTTACAGGTTTGCTGGAGCCATCTATTTTGCCGGTGCTCTCTAGCTGATTACTTGGCGGGCAGTGTGGTAAGAAAATCACTCACACACTAACAAATCTAAAATTCACAAAAAGAAGCTATAATTATATGATGTAGCATTTTTTTCCCCCAAAACTTGTATCATTACGTAAGCAGAGTTCGCAAACTCAAAATACAAAGCAACAAAAGAAAGAAATTTCAGAAAAATAAAACACACACGCACACACAGAGCAAAACCATCAATACGGGCAGTGATGGAGCCAAAATTGGACTAGGGAAGTCATGTACGCTCCTAAGTTTGTAATATTTACTATTAATGCTCCTCTTTAAATTCTGTAAAATTGTTTTTGTATTTAAAAATTTTAAAAGTAGTCTATTATTTATTGGCCATTCATTCTTGTATACTCTGAAAAGTTAGGGGGATTTTTTTTAAGGTCCCTGATATTAAGAATTTATAGTATAAAGGACACTCAATATTTTCAGTTGATAGTATTGAACTTATTAATTATAGATTCAGTTGAGTTGTTAATTGTGAATTTCTAAACCATTCCGATATAATTCTCATTATAATTGTAAAGATATTGAATCTCAACAATCCCTTGTTGTTTATTGTGAGCAATTTGTAGCCCCTCTGCATTGAATCAAAACTTCACCAAAAAAAAAAAAATAGAAAGTTTGAAATGGATAGGACGATGAAACCTTGTTAGGAGGAATAGGACGAGCAGGGTTGTTGTTCATAATTCGGTGGATTGTGGATGCAATTAGAGTGGAATCATTGCCGCTTCCAGCGAGGAGCAGGGGTCCCTGCTGTGGAATAACCACAGCAGTCACGGCTGTGGATTAAAACGCCACCGTTTTCATGTTTTTCTTTTTCTTTTTCTTTTTTTTTTTTTTTTTTTATTTTTTTATTTTCTAAAAGTTAGTTTTTATTTTTTATTTTTTTATTTTCTAAAAGTTAGTTTTTATTTTTTATTTTTTTATTTTCTAAAAGTTAGTTTTTATTTTTTATTTTTTTATTTTCTAAAAGTTAGTTTTTATTTTTTATTTTTTTATTTTCTAAAAGTTAGTTTTTATTTTTTATTTTTTTATTTTCTAAAAGTTAGTTTTTATTTTTTATTTTTTTATTTTCTAACATTTTTGTCTTCTCTCAAACAGATTGAACAGTGTTCTTTATTTTTGCTTCACCGTTCTTCTGCTGGATTTACAGACCATTATTGTTCAACAAACTGGTATGTATATCTATGTATATTATATGTATATATGTTTTGTATTTTGTTTTGTACAATATGTTAGTGGGTTGAACAAGTATAATAGTTTGGTTTGTTTTTTGTGAATGGATTGAGAAACACAATTGTATATTATAAGAAAAAATTTTTTATTATGTAATTTGTTTTGTACATATTATGTATCTTTGTATAAATATTATATAATCTTTTTAAGGAGTTACGATAATTTGTAATTCATAATTATTTTTTTTATAGCAATGTTATGTATTTTTGTGGAAATATTACACATTTTTATAACAATGTTATTTATTTTTGTAATAATGTTATGCATTTTGTGGTCTAAAAAAAGTTTCAATAAAAAAATCTATAATCTTACTATAAAATGCGAATTTAATTTTTTAATCATAAATTGTTATAACTCAATAAATGATGACATAACATTTGTAACAAAAATACAAAACATATATCAAAAATTTATATAATAAGAGGGCATATGATTCACATCTTTAAGCGTGTCTGCCAAAAGATTCCCTATATTATATAATATACTAATTCTAATATAATTTTGCAATTGTATATTATAATCTACTCAGATACAATAAATTTCCAATGTTACTGTACAAATTACACATCTTTTTTTCCTCTCCCCCTATCCTTTTAATTAATTTACATTATTAATTGATTTATTAGATTTCATTGAATTGTTTAATTACTCAGCATTTAAAATTAATTAATAACTTTTTTGCTCAGATTCTTGTTTCGTTTAATATATATATATATATATAGATACACATACCAGTTTGTTGAACAATAATGGTCTGTAAATCCAGCAGAAGAATGGTGAAGCAAAAATAAAGAACACTGTTCAATCTGTTTGAGAGAAGACAAAAATGTATAAAAAATAAAATAAAAAAAATAATACTAATTTTTCTACTCCAACACAGCAGAGTCTTTTCCTTGGAGTGTTAGAAACGGCGGTAGCTTCGTAAAGGTGTCCTACTAAAGAACGAAACCCTTACATATAAATTTAAAAAAAAAAAAAAAGTAGGCAAAACGGTGCCGTTTTGAGGCACATAGCAGGCACGGCAGGGAGAATACACAGCAGGGGCCCCGTGTCCGATCAAATGGCTATCGATATCTGATAAATATGATTTTTTGTAAGAATGATATACTTGATAAGTTCTATATATTGAATGATTTGAATCATTATATCAATCAATGTACTAATAAATAATGTGATATAATTTTGTATTAAAGTTAAGGTGAGTTATATTATACCTTGGGTTATCAAAATGTATTTCTTTCAATTTTCAGAGCTTTCAGGGTTTTTAAAGTAAGAACTCCTCAGATTCACACTCTCAATTTGTCCCTTTCTTGTTTATAGGAAATGAGTTTGCTAAAAATGAGGCCAAGGGTCTAAAATTGGCATGGGTTTGTATATAGAGACTCTGTCTTGTTCTCGGTTTGTCTCTAAAATGTTTTTCAATCTCGTTTATAGTGGTGGAGGAGTGAGAGATTCGTAGATTCGAAGAATGAGGTTCGGTGGATGATGGACTTATGGGACGCCATACTGGAGTTGGGCAGAGTCAATACATGTGGGGGAGAATATGTCTGATAACAATAGAAGATTTCTTCGATGATCTGATCCGAGAGGCTGCCAAGAAGGAGCGGCAGTGGGTTCATTGATGATACGCATTACATTGAGTCCAGCAATTACACCATCATCGTTTGTTGCCTCACGTTGAGAATCATTGAAGTAGGCAGCCTCCATGTCTGTTCAACAGCTCTGCAATGCAACTATGGCGCTCTCTCTCTCTAGATTCTCTCTCTAGAATGGAGAGACAAATCATCGAATTGGTTTATGGAGGTTTGAAGGGTGAGGGATATGAAATTTCTCTGTAGGGACCTTAGACATCATAATATAATTTTGTGGACCTCTTCCATTACGAAAAGTGGGAGAGGGACCCTAGACCGATTTTCCCGAAAAGTTAATGGTAAGAATTGAATTAATTGATCATTTGTTTAGTTGATTATTTTTCTCCATTGTGGGGCTGGAGTTGATAGTATTGAACTTATTAATTATAGATTCAGTTGAGTTGTTAATTGTGAATTTCTAAACCATTCTGATATAATTCTCATTATAATTGTAAAGATATTGAATCTCAACAATCCCTTGTTTATTGTGAGCAATTTGTAGCCCCTTTGCATTGAATCAAAACTTCACCAAAAAAAAAAATAGAAAGTTTGAAATGGATAGGACGATGAAACCTTGTTAGGAGGAATAGGACGAGCAGGATTGTTATTCATAATTCGGTGGATTGTGGATGCAATTAGAGTGGAATCATTGCCGCTTCCAGCGAAGTTGAAACAGGGGAAAGTGATGAAAAACTTGTCCTCGCAGGGAGGAATTGGGGGAGCGAGAAGAGGTTGGGGATCGTAGACGAAAGCTAAAACTTAGCTTTTAATTAATTTTTGGTCATATCGGGTGTATTTGGTTTTCTTTTGAGAGAGTAATTTTCAAAAAAAAAATTGAAAAGAGAGTTTAGGGCTCCGTTTCGTAAATCTCTCAAATTATAGTTTCACCCATTGATTTGAGTGTGGTGTTTGTTTTGAGCTTTCAAATCATAATTCTACACCCATTTCTCAAAACTCAATTCAAAATATAATCATTACTTTTCAAAATTCATAACCAAACACATAATTTAAAATTCTTTTCAAAACTCAATTCAAATCAATATGTTAATTTTTTAAATATTTTAAAAATATTTTAATTTTGTTAAGATTTTAAATATTTTAATATTTAAATATGTTACAATTTTTTTTATTTTTTAATTTTTTGAATATTTTTAAATATTTTAATTTTTAAATATTACGAATTTAATTTTTAAAATTTTAAAATATTTTATAAAAATAAATTCAAACTCTATTTTCTAAAAATATTTTTAAATATTTTAATTTTTTTGTTATGTATTTGGTTACGATTTGAGTATAGAGTTGTGAAAGTAGTATAGAGTTTCGAATTATGTGTTTGGTTATGAGTTTTAAAAATAATTTCTTAATTGAGTTTTGTTTTACGTGTTTGGTTACGATTTGAGTGTATAGTTTTTTTTAAAAATTTAAAATTTTAAAATTTTAAATTATATAAATTTTTACGATTTAAATTTTTTGAATATTTATTTTAATTTTTTACTTATTAAAATTTTTAGATTATTTAAATATTTATGATTTAAATTTTTTGAATATTTATTTTGAAAAAAAATTATTTCCTTTGTAGTATTTTCAATTAAAAAATTGATTAATGTTATTTTTTGTTAATAATAAATTTTTTTAATTGAATTTTAAAAAGAGTTTGGTTATGAGTGTTGATCAAAATTTTCAATAATATGAAAGTAATGTGTTTTGTTATGAGTTATAGCAATTTGAATTAAGTTTTGAAAACTCTTTTCAAAACTCATAACCAAACAAATTTTCTTACTTCACATGTCAAATCAAACTTTCAAAACTCAATTCCACACTCAATTCAAAACTCAATTCAACACTCTATTCAAAAATTATAACCAAACAAATTTTCTATACTTAAATCATAATTTCAAAATACACAAACTCAAAATACAACTCATATTCTCAAATCATAATTAGAAAGTCTTACCAAACGGAGCCTAGAATTTTTTTTGATTTATTTGGTTGTATATTTTGAAAGTAGTTTTGGAGTTTGAAAGTTTGAAATAATTTGATATCTTGTTATAATTGAATAGATGTATGTGAGAGAAAAATAATTGAAAAAGAGAGAGGAAATAAAAAAATAATTGATTGATGTGTACGAGAAAGAAATTAATTTTGAAAACGTTTCGAGAAAAAATACAAACCAAACAAAATTTAAAAAAAAAAATTCAAAAATAACTTTCTCCAAAACAAACCAAACAAGCCCATCATCTCTTACATTTTTTTTATATATATTTTTTTAAAAGTCAAAAAATCAATTTTTAACGATCTTTCCAAATCTCACCTAAATATGATTAGTACTTAATAAGATTCAGTTACTATTAATTGGTAAGTAGAATGAAAACAAACTGTGGGTAGAGTCACAATAACTAACAAATACTGAATTAGAAATATGAATTTTAAATTATTAAACAAAATGAAAAGTTTATTAGAGTCCACAGTACTGAAAAAAATACCAGTTCAGTTGATTTGACCTACTATAAAAAAAAAAAATATATCTCACGTTATTCGGCGAGGTTGGGGACCTATTTTTGTGTGGATGTGGCAGTTTCAATAATTTATTAGATTTAACTTGGTCCTTATTATGATTTTATTTTATTTTATTTTATTCATTACTCAATTAAGGTTAAGTTTGGCTAACTTAAAAAAGTACATTTATTTTATTTTTTTTATCTTTTTTGGGTCACATCAATCAACATCTCCTCTCTATTTTTTTTATACATAATACAAAAAAAGTCAAAAATACACTCATTTAGTCTTCCCAAACTTGGCCTAAATTTTACTTACTATTTAATGAGACTGCTTACTATTTTATTAGATTTTACTTACTATTTAATAAAACCCCGCTTACTAATCCATCAAACTTGAATAGTAAGTTTAAAATGAGTAGTAAGTTACTTCATAATAAGTAATGGTCATGTTTGATTCATAAGATTAATAGTAATGTATTAATAATCCTATTAAATTAGTGTGGTATTCACTATCCAATTGGATTAATATCCATTGGATTAATAATTTCACCCCTACTCCATTACTAATAATTCTACAAATTTGTTAGATTAATTATCCATTGGATTAATAATCTTAAACCAAAATGTTAAAACAAACGTAAGATAATTGGGCCTACGGATTAATAATCTCAATCCCATACTCTAATCCACCCAATCAAACATGCCCAATAAGTTCAAATTGAGTGGCAAGTAGAATTAAAAAAGTACAGTAAATAATGTGTCTTACAAAATCAAAAAAAAAAAAACAATATTGAAAAAAAATAAACAAAATGTGAAGTGAAAGTAGCCATGTCAAAAAATAATTAAAAATAATATACAAAATGTAGAGTGGAAGTAGCCAATATAATGTGTCATTAGTTTAGCACAAATTACAAAATATTACCTGTTATCATTTAAACGAGTAATCTCTTGGGCTCCGTTTGTTTTGGGAGATAGAATGGAAGGGATTGATAGTGAAGGAATTAATAGTGAGGGGATTGTTAGTGAAGGGATTGATAGTGAGGGGATTAATAGTGAGGAATTGTTAAATTATTTTTATAGAAAATAATAAAACAAATAAAAAATATAAAAATTAAACATTAATATTTAAAAAAAAATTCCCAATATATAAAAAATAAAAACAATAAAAAAATTTCTAATCCCCTCACTATTTTTCTAATGCCATCTCTATCTCCTCCTTACCAATCCCCCTTCCTCCTCCTTAGTCCTAAGGGATTACTAGTCTTCTCCCTATCTCTCAAAACAAACACCTCATTTTCAATCCCCTCCTCACTATCAAACCCAATCCCCTCCCTATAACCCCAAACAAACGGGGCCTTGAAGGTGTCATTTTCAATAGTAAGTACTAGTGGTAATCTGTGTTATACACGGGACTTTATAATTTTTTTTAAAAATATTATAAATATGTTAAAGTAATTCAATATTTTGTCTTGTGATATATATGAAATTTATAAGTTAATTTTTATGTTTTATAACTTTTTAAATTATTAGTTTAAAAAAATTAAATATATATATATATATATATATATTTAGTGTAATTTTGATAATTTGTAATAAATAAATAAAAAAGTTAAACTGAGGTTACATGAGTTATGCATGAGTTATGTTATACCTCTTTTTACTATGAAAATAGAAAAATTTTAAAATTATAATTAAGACAAATATACAATTTTATTATTAAACGCGAAGTGAAGTGATATTTAATAATAATTGATATAATGTTTCTGTTATTAATCCAATGATTTAAATTACATTTCTTTTTATTTTAATTTCATAACTAAAAATACAATATGAATATAACATGCACACGAATTTCTACTATTTAAGAATAAAAAAGGTTTAGAATATTTAAAATCTTTCATCATTTTCTTTTAATTTTTTTTTATCTAATTTGATTTTAAATTTGAATAAAAAATTTGATTTGATGTGAATTATTTTAACTTTTTCATTAAATTTTTATCAATTTTTAAAAGAACTTTCATTCTTATCCCATTTTTTTTTTCTTTTCATCAATTTTGATAAAAAAAAATAATAATAATTTCTGACGCTTTATCTTCTTAAATTTTTATCAAATTATAATTCAATAAAAAAAATATTAAGGGTTGAAAATTCTCTTAATTGGAATTATAGTGAAATAACATATTGAAATAGTTAAAGTTTGAGTATGTGGTTGCTTGAAATGTATAATTTGATTAATTCTCTACTCATATTTCTATAAAAATTGATAAATCGGATTATGGAAAGTTTTTTGATGTGTCAAACATTTTTCATTTGTAAATATGCTACCTATTAAAAAAATAGAAAAATAAAAGAAAAAGAAAAAATGTGTAGTTTTTGGATATGTGTTTATCAATTTTGTTTTGTGAATATAAACAATTGATGTTTCAATTTAAAAAATTAAAAATTATATAAAAAAAATAGATTGGGTTTTTTGGGGATAAAAGAAGCCATCTAACTCTTCTATATACTATTTTAAAATGGACTATTTTAATCACATAAAAAAATAAAAATTACATTTGGAAATCATTCCTATATATTA